GAATATAGGATTACAACAACAATAGCCACCAAGGCATCTAATTTAAACTATGATACATTGAGATCTACCATAGAATATTGGTCGTACAATCCTTGCCCCACCCCCAGAACAGGGGAAAAAGAAAGACAGAATGCAGACAAATCAATTCTGCCCCGAACTTACCAAGCCAAGATATCGAATGTTTGGTTCACGGACAGCAATAAATTTTCCAAGAAGAGCCACACATTGAGACATCATCTCTTTCTCGGCATCAAGATGCATCACCTGGAACAGAAAGTTAAATAAAACATGCTATCGTGAGTAAAAGAATTGTATGTAAAATTATGGCGAAAGAGGAAATGACATATAGCAACTGCATTCCCTGTACACATCTTTATATGAAGAATCATATATCAATAGCAGCAAGAACAGGTTACTAAACCATCAAATGCACACAGTAACCATCTCAACATAATCATGTGTGCCAGCAGATGTATTCATAGATAAAAGCAAAGAAAACCAAGCAAGAGAGATGGAGAGAAAGAGATTGAAAAATACTAAGAAATGGCAATCCATCACTCAAACTATCTCTTTGATGTTTGACATATGGTTATTAGACTTAATGTGTGCTTTTATGTATGAAAATTGAAAATGGTGCAGAATATAGTCCCACATCAACATGACATCATTCTTATCTCCACATAATACATTAGTATTTAAGCCAAACGGTAATGTACATGAATAGCTGCATATAACTGCATATATTTAAGCATCTAACTACGCAAATTGTAAATCTTTTAATAGTATTAGAGAACAGAAGCAGTTATCTTTAAAGTTAGCTAACTTGTTTAGTTGTTAGTTAGCTGAGCTGGCAGTTAAGCTGACAGCTGTTAGCTAGTATAAATATCTAGCTCACTCTTGTAATCATTCATAGATTGAGATATAGAAATTACAGTTACAGTTACAAGCTTTCTTCATTTTCTGTTTTATCTCGTTCCAATTTATCTTTTTTACAAATAGATCATGAATATGAATCATTTAATATAATTAAATATAGGGTCCTGTTAATGAGTGCCCTATGGCCACTGGTTAAGGAATCGAAAAATGGAAATAATGCATTAAAAATAGCATTTTTTTAACTATTTATGTACATGAAATAATCAATTTCCTATAGAAAATCTATTTGATTCATTAACCAATTTACATGCATATTGTCATCTGTAATACGATCATAAAACAAGAAGAAATCTGTTAATTTTAATTCATATAGTGGTGTCCGATGATCATACCAGAGCTAGGGCTTCAAAAAGAACAGCATGGGATGCATTATTTTTGTTCACATTTTTCACGACATCAGTGCCCATCAGTATCCTTTGTAAGACCTGAAATGATTAACTCGGGGATCACTAAAATTTATTAACTAAATAAAAATTTTCCTGCGTTACTGCAATATGACACACCTCAAATAATGACCTTCTGATATTTGGATCCTCAATGATAGGAAAATATTGAAGAGCCCTCATTGTCTTGACCTACATTAAGCCAAAAAATTAAACACGAATGAAGGTGAAATTCTAGATGAGAATGTGATATTTAGTTCGATACTTGAAAGTTCTTAATAACGGCAAGCTGTAAGAATGGCACTCAAAAATCTGTCTAAAACCAAAGCCCTAACAGAAAATTTTACAAACCTGAAGCCAGGGAGATGGGATACCATAGTAAGTGTATTCTTGAGGGATATCTTGGTTCCTAGCAAGGCGCTCCAAAATTTTGACACACTTGGGAAGACAACTCCAATATGCCTCATGGTGATTTGATACTAACGCAACAAGGAGACTCATAGAAGATGTCAAAACACCAAGGTCTCGCTCATCCAAAAGTTGTGTCATCCGATCCGCCCTTAAAATAAGGTAAAAGGGACTAGTAAGATACATTTTAAGGAAAGCAATAAAGGCAAAGTGTATTACCAGCAAAGTCACATTCGGATTTACCATCCATCTACATTGACAACATCAGGATTTTTCCTATACAAGCGCAGCAAAGACAATGCAGCTTTTTTTCTCACAAGTGGTCTGGAACTGTTAGATATCTAGATCACAAAATGCAGTTAGCATCAATGTTTTCCAATCATGCCACCTATTTACCAATGATGCATAATTTCTTACCATCAACTTCTGTACATCAGGTGCTAAAGACTCGGCAAATTCTCTCCCCCCTATATTTCCAACCTACAAAAAAGAAGGTATACCATTGTGGCAGTGATCCAAACAAGTTGGGGTCTTTAGGACTCCAAACACCAAGCCACGTAGGGTATTGTCAATTGTACATTTTAATGTTTTATTCTACTATGAATGCTATTCTTGACTAGTTAATTCACATTGCAAAATAATGTGAAATGATCAAATATTTAAGTATTTTCTCCTTTTTCTAATATGTACGGTGGTGCCCTTAGCATAAAGGCATTAACAAAACCTTGTGGCTTTTGCCTTTGATGACCTTGAGAGCTACTGAGAATCAAATAAGCAAAAAGGAGAAGAGGGAAGAATGCAGTGAGCAAAACGTGAGACCCTTGAATTCACACATGTTGGAAGTTGGAACCGTACCGGCAAAAAAAAATGAAAAATACAATGTGGAAATTTTTTAGTTTATAAGTCATATAAGTTGAAATTTTTTAGTTGGAACCATATATTTATTACCATGTAAAAGGTTTTTTGTGTCAGATACATCAACAGAGGATGGAAATATACAAAAGAGAAATTTATCCACAACCGCCAAAACATTTTTATGACAGTATGACTTATCATTATTACACTAAGATACTAAGAGAAATGCATAAATAAAGTTAACTGTGCAGTGATTAATATGGATAGAAAGCCTTCAAACGTCATTTTTTCCATTACCATACCATTGTCAATGCTAGGCACTGGAAGGTTTCATTGCGACCAATAATATCATTGCGCACAGTATTTATTGCCAACCTGAGAAATTCATGATTTTCATTAAGCAAACTTGATGTTACAATGTACCCAACCTGCAGTCATTGAACGCAATATTAGAATTCTGTCTTTCCTGTCCATATATTTTCTCTGATAGGTAAACATGTAAAAGAACTAAAATGGAACTTCATAAGAACACAAAAAAAGTAAATAAAATCATGACAAAATGCTGTCATAAAAGATGGAACAAATTTACCTGCTTTTCTGGATACTTTGGAGCAGATATAAGAGAAACAGCTTCCATGTGACCAAAATCCACATCATAGCCAAGCATAAATATGTATAGCATCTTCCAAACATATTTCTTTTTCTTATATGGAGTCAAAGCCTAAAGACAAAACCAAAAGGTCAAAAAATTAAACGCATGAATTTGTTTTGATTAACAGCAAGCAACAATGGAAAATTGGTAAAAGATGAGCAAATACTTTATATTTGGCAGAATAAAATAATAACAAAGAAGCAAGGTTAACTGAAAATGCTTCAGATTATTTTTAAACAGTGTCAGTTAAAGCCCGATAGTTTCCAAAGGGAATGACCAAATTCAAAAGTGATAGTAAATTATTATAGGATGAAAGTGAAAGGGTGACCTTTTCATTTTTGAAGCGGTTTCTAATGTTGCCAAGCTCTTTATCAACACGAAGCCTCTCATGTTCTTTATTCTGGCAATTCCGAATGTCGCTGATGAATACGGACAGACCTCTCATCGCAATAGATCACACCGATCTCATCTAACTCACACAATCAATAAATACTTTGTTATTTCTTATTCATATATACATTAGATATAAACAAAACAAAAAAAACAACAACAACAACAACCATTGACTTTGTTGTTAAGGTGTGTTTGGTTCTGATCTACATAACCAGAAACAGTGGGTAAGAAGAGGTGGACTCACCAAATTTCATTACGAGTTATCTAACACATTTATATATGTCCATCATATCTAATTTTAATATATCATACATACTTCTAAAATTACTTTTCTTAAATTTTAATTACATTTACATATTTATCCTTTTCTCAATCAAAAGAATAACATTCAATATCATTTTGGTGGAATTCAAAGTCTATCTACCCTCACTAGAAATGGTCACAAGCACAATTTGTTTATGTCATTTATATGTGCCACCAGTTACAAATTGACACGTCAATTAAATTTGCATCATAATAACTAACCAAAAAGTTAACAAAAACAATGAGTTTATAATTGGTGGCACATAGAAAAATGTCATAGACAACTTATCATCCTCACATTATGCTCCATATTAAATCTCTCACTCTACATTCCTCTTCTCTTTTAGACAAAAATAAATAGCAATCTCACAAGTGTATTTGATAATTAGTTTCTTCATTTATATAGTAAAGAGGAAGAATGTTTAATTTCTATGTTAAACTTGATAGTCTTCACTAGTTAAAAAACAATTTCAAAACTTTGAAAATGTTATCATTTAACTGATTATCTATCAAGATTGAATGATAATGTTGGGGATACCAAATAGAAGTCAAAGTGATAACTTTCCAGTTACATTTAGTATTTAGTGATCACAGCTAGACTAAGCCTTTTTTTTCTTTCTATTTTGGATAATAATTTACTTCTGCTGTGATATGAAGACTGGCCCCTCTATAGTGCTTATGCTATGTACTTCTGAATAGTAATGAATAGGATACAATTCAGTAATTGTTCTTTAATTGATATCATCTTTGTGGATGCAAATGAACGGCACTGATGTTTCATAAGCACGGAGAAGAGATACACTCAACTTCAACTTTAGTAGAAGCATCGTCATAGTAAACTACAAGCAGAGCATGTAAACTACATCCAATGTGAAAGCTCATTGTAAACTACGTTCAAGAAAATAAAATTTAATGATCAAGTAATCAGGAATAAATTAAGGGAATAGAGGACAGGAGTAGATAAAATTCTGGAAACTGAAGAACTGAGACATTGCAACAAGTGGGACCTTCTTTGCCACAGGAGATGCTTCAACAATGTGTTAATAATTTGATATCGAGTGTTCAAGGGAGGGAAAACAAATTAAACAAATATAAGTACATCTGTAAGTGGTAATAATATTATTTGTTTACTAGGTTTCTGTTGGATCAGTTATCAGCAAACATGGTCATGTGTCCTTTGAGAGGCTGTAACAGTGGAACAACTAATCTAGCCCCCTCTTTCCTTCATTTTCTCTCAGTTGAAGAAGCAAATCCATTAAAATTGAAAATAATACCACCAAAGATGCAGAGTGTAATTAGGTTCAACCTTAAAAGGGGGCCATTGTAATTTCCCTAATAGTAAAAACACCAACACTCGTTGATCAACTTCAAATTATCATAGTTCAGAACCATAACTTAACCAAAAAACACACAGTTTTCAAAGACAACAAAAAAAGAAACCTCGATTCCAACTTTAAAAAGAAAAGAAGGATAAGCTAGCATTCGATTTCTCAGCATAGAACAGTGCTTCATCAGAAAAGAAAGTGGCCAAAGCGGAACTCTTCAACGAACATTGATCATAAGCAGTGAATAAAAACATTAGAACTTGGAAACAAAAATTTAAACTTTATCAAAAACCCACCTCTAATTCCAAGAAACGAAGAAGAAACATTTCACGCATGCCTATATTCTTCGCTGCCTCAACCATATCAGAAGGTAATTTCACACCCCTAGCTTCTGTTACGGTGTGATCCGATGCAGTGGATGCTGAAAGTGGGGACTTTATGGTTGAAAACGGAGAAGGGGTGTTCCAAGTTTGGGTTTTGAAGAGATTTTATTGAAATGAAGGGTATGTTGGTGTTTCCATGTGGAGATGGCGAAGGTATTGGAAGAAGAAAAGAGTGGCATGTTGAGAAAGAGAGTAGTGTGAGAAAAGTGTTAGTTGCAAAAGTGAATAAGGTAAGAGTAAAAGAAAGAAGAGAGTGAAAGAGAAGAGAGAATTGAAGAGTGAAAGAGAAGAGAGAAAAAGAAGAGAGAGAAAGAAGAGAGAAAAAGGAAACGACGCCTGAGAGATTCGAACTCTCGCGGGGAAACCCCATGTACTTAGCAGGCACACGCCTTAACCACTCGGCCAAAGCGTCTTCATGCCTCTTTAATACAATTATTTATTACCTATATATAAAATTATAGTTGAGAATATGAAAGTGGTGTCATGAGGAAGAAGGGGCAACAAGGGGTATTTTTTATATTATACAATAATTTAAATTAAATATTTTTTTGGTAGGATCCACATGAAAATCCAGGTGGATATTGTTTATTAGAGTTAGGATATTAATGTAAGTAAGTTTTTATTTTTGTACTTATATTAAAGAGTAAAAGTGTAATGTGATTATATTTTAAGAATAAAAAATTATATCCTTATGTTTTTTTATGTTATTTGTGATGTAATTATTTATCCAATATTGGAGAGGAACTAAACCATATTTACTACATCAATTTAATTTCTAAAAAATTAAAATTAAAACTATTAGTGAAAAACCAAATTCTATACACAAAAAATTAATGGACCAACTTTACTTTGAATTATAATTAACAGTACCCAAATTATAAAAAAGTCTAGAGACTTACAAAAAAATATTTATATTTTCAAGATACTTAACTGAGATCTTAACATTTAAGACTTATTATGAAATAAGCTAGCAAATAAAGCATCCATGGCCTAATGGATAAGGTGTCTGACTTCTAATCAGGCTATTGTGTGATTGAGTCCCACCTGGCCTGCAGTTCAATGAAAGGATACTATCCCAAAAATTTCATATCTCCATTTACTAAATTTATTACATTCCAATAAGATACAAAAATATTTTCTTTTATTATTATTATTTTTCTTTATTCACTTTTCATACCATGACACAAGACATTCCAGCAGATTTAATAATTTATATGGCAAAGTTTAATAGTCATTTGTGGAGTTCATCAGTCCACCAACTTTCCCACCTCATCCTCACTAACTACATTTTTATATCAATCTACTTTAATAGAGAATTATGTTTCTACCAACAATTTTTTCCCTACCTGTTAATTAAGGAACCTTGTGTTACAACATTTTATCTCTCTCTTGTGATATATAAAACATTGACGTGAACATTAAAATATGTCCAAAATATGAAAATTTTATGTCTGAGTTATTTCTCTCTTAATTTATTGCTGATGAAGCTGGGACAGCTCATGATGTGTGGAAGAGACTATACTTGTAACTAATGTCATTTCTTGCTACTATTTAAATTTGTTAGTCCAGTTTTTGGTTTTGGGAAATGTAGACATGGAGTAAGAAAAGTGCATTTGCTTGCTTCTATAACTAAATTTCCTATTATAATTAAAAACTATATTCAATCATACCATATATTAGTTATTTGAGGAATTTACATGGGTCCTTAATGATTAAAATGTTGCAAGTTTAAATAAATTTACTATATCTACATTAGACAAGATGGTTATAACTTATAACTAAGCCTAAGACTGTCCATCCATAATTAATAGATTACTATACCAACCCAATATATATAATATTATAATATAACATAACACAAGCATGCAAGAATTCCTCAAACAACGAATACAATGTACTGTGGGTGGAAACTTTTGTATTTTGACTAAATGTGGCTCAACATTTAAAGTGATGTATCTATAAGATTCTAGGAACTGCAGCTTACCACAATAACCAATGCATGCTGCAGCATAAAAGCACAAGGGACAAGGTCATCTTCAGATCATCACTTCCCAATACACTAACCATCTTTAAAGCCTCTCTCTCTCTCTCTCTCTCTTGAAGAAGAAGAAGAAGAAGAAGAAGAAAACTTTGAGCTAATTTCTGAAGAGAACTTGAAAAGCATGAAGAATTCAAGTCATTTCTTGACATGCATGGTTATGGTTTTAGTTGTTGTAGTGGTTAATGGGCAGCCTCTGGTGCCAGCATTGTTCATATTTGGAGACTCAGTGGTGGATGTGGGTAATAACAACAACCTAGACACCATTGTTAAAGCAAACTTTCCTCCTTATGGAAGAGACTTCAAGAATCACATGTCAACTGGGAGATTCTGCAATGGAAAACTTGCCACAGACTACACTGGTATTTCTTTCTTTACTTTTAATAACCACAAAATCCATACATTATCTTATTTTCCAACAACAATATGATTTTTTTTCTTCTTCATTTTGTGCAGCTGAAAATCTTGGATTTACTTCTTATCCACCAGCTTATCTCAACTTAAAATCCAAAGGAACGAATCTATTGAATGGGGTCAACTTTGCCTCGGCTTCTTCTGGCTACTATTCTGAAACAGCCAAACTATATGTAAATAAATTTGAAGCTTAAAACTCAAAAACACTCATATAAGAAATTCTTATGTGTTATTTCCAGAAGATAAATCTCTTATTTTGAATCATCTCTAAAGTGGTCAGATAAATACAAATGTACTTTTGTGTGTATCTTTCCAATTGTTTCTTATAAATCTTAATTGGACCCACTAGAGAAAAAAACAAAAACAAAAACTTGTGTGTTTAACTTTCTTTTTCACTTGATCACTCAAGGAAGAGGAAAAAAACAATTGAGAGGATACAATCTTACTTCAATACATTTTTAATGTGACACACTCAATAAGAGTACATAGCAAAACATTTTTCTTCTTCCAATAGCATCTAATAATCTATATTCTCCTTTCTTTACTTTACTTGTCATAATAGTGGTAAGTCCTAATATGTATGAGTATTTTTCCTTTTTCTTCTTAATATAGCATGCAATTTCTCTGAGCGATCAACTGGAGCACTTCAAAGATTGCCTGAATACATTGTTGGGAGTGGCAGGGAAATCAAATGCTTCATCAATTATATCTGGTGCTATATATCTTATTAGTGCCGGAAACAGTGACTTTATTCAAAACTATTACATCAATCCTTTGCTTTACAAGGTTTACACTGCTGATCAATTCTCAGACTTTCTACTGCAGAACTATGCCACTTTTATTCAGGCAAGTCTTTCTCAACCTTGACATAATGACTTAGTAAACAAATTGCCACTTAAGATGTGTAAATATCATTAATAAAAAATCACCTTTAGAGAAAAAATGATATTTATTTTACCATTGATTTAGAACTTTGTTGGTTTGATTTACATTTCCAAATTCCAAGCATGCATGTGTTGTGACAGAATTTATATGCACTCGGAGCAAGGAGGATTGGTGTGACAACATTACCTCCAATGGGTTGCTTGCCTGCAGCCATCACTCTCTATGGTTCTAATAGCAACGAGTGCGTGGAGAGGCTTAACCATGATGCTGTTAACTTCAATAATAAGTTAAATACCACATCACAGGGCTTGCAAAAACTGCTTCCTGACCTCAAATTGGTCTCCTTTGATATCTACCAACCTCTCTATGATCTTGTTACCAAGCCTACTGAGAATGGTACAATATTTGTTGTTTAGATCATTTTCTAATTTAATTTCGATTTGATATACATTTGAAACAAGAAACTAACTGAAATAATGTGACAGTTTTTTCCTGTGCCAAAAGAAAGCATACCAAGCACTACCTAATTCTACTAATCCTAGTAAATTAATCTTATTATGGCTTATGAACTAGGATTTTTAACAGCTTTCCTTTGTATGTTATGACTTATATACTTCTGACAGGATTTTTTGAATCAAGGAAGGCTTGTTGTGGAACTGGATTGCTAGAAACATCTATATTGTGTAATAGCAAGTCCATAGGAACATGCGCCAATGCATCTGAATATGTATTTTGGGATGCTTTTCATCCCACAGATGCTGCAAACAAGATTTTGGCAGAAGATTTGCTCATTGCTGGCATCTCTCTCATATCCTAATCAAACTCTTCTTAGAGTCATTCTGCTTTGGATTTTTTATGTGTGTGGTTGTTGTATGCGTTCAGCCTAGGTAAAAGGAGGCTGGTTGTGTTGAATTATAAATATAAAACTCAATTTGTGCTTTCAAGCATTGTGTAGTAAGACCAACCATATTTGTATAAACTAAGCTTTATGTGTAATTTCTAGTTTTGGATGCTCAAAGCTGCTTTTGCTGGGTTTGTATTCTATTGTTTTATTTAATGAATGTTGTTTTATGTGACAGATATAACAATCCTATCTGTTCTGTCATTTCTTTTAAAATGTCACTTTCTTTTTTGTACATTGAACAATGCCATTTTCTTATAACATAATCCAAAAGGGCAGGTGCAAAAAATTAACTCACCACCACAAGCTTCTGAAAGTAGGTAAGAGACAACAGTGTCAAAATTGATATACATATACATCCAAGTAAAAGTAATTACCCAGAACAAGAAGAACAAGAAGATAGAAAACAAAGGGACATAATAGTACTCTGCTCAAATTTGATACTAAGTTACAGTCAGCCAAAAAAGGACCATGTACAATGTCTAGGATTGGGAACCACAAGGAGTAGTTTCTGGCTGAAACAATATTTAGAAGCTTCAACATCAGAAAATTTTAGTCTGTATAAGACATTTGAAGTCTGATTGGATCATAATGTCAATACATATAATAGCACTACTTTAATTCATTCATCACAAAATGCACTCCTTTACCACAGAATAGACAAAAATGTTTTGAATCTTCTCTAAAAGCATACTTCAATTAATTCTTACTACCAAATTACAGAATTGGAATGAATCTCATTATGTTGTTCTTACACAATAGCACATTTATCACCCATAGTATCTTGTGATTTAGAATCATTTGAATGAACCCTTGTTAACTTTTAGGTTAAAAAATGTGAATGTGAATGTGAATAACTAAAAACAAAACAAACAAACTTCAAAACAAAAAGAAGCCGTGGCAAAGTCTATAGCAACAAAATCTGATATTGACTAGTCAAGAATCAACTCATTCAAATGTACAATCCAAGCCCTTCAAAAGAAAAATCTAATCTAGGGAGAAGTTTCAAACAAATTTCTTGTTTATAATAACAAACGAAGGAAGCTAGCTGAGGCATTCTGTTTTGCAATATCACTCCGATGTGGCACACCTTCAGCTTCCCTTACTTTACACTATGAAAAGGCTTCCAAAATCACAACCTCACTTGTGACTTATATTGCACATAAGGTCTGATATAACAGTTCCATACAAAATCATGCTCCAATGACCAGCAAGTGTTACCATATGAATAAGAAAAGGTTGCACAGACCACCCAGAAATGCTAAATTTTAATCTATTTTGATGACCTTATTGGTTGGGACTCTTTGAGTGGCTTTGGAGATCCAATAATAGCTATGTTCCCCACACCAACTTCCATAGCCTCATGCTCACCCTTTTCCCTCTTTATATTTTCAGACATTTCTACATCCATAGCATCAGGTAGCACAATAGTCAACGAGGGTTGAAGTGTCCGAAGACCTGCACTGAACCATGGATGACTAAGGCACTGAGCAGCTGTTGGCCTCTTTTCAGGGACAAAATCAAGTAATGGAACAAGGAAATCAGCCATGTTATTTGCTTCTTGCTCACTGAAATCATACTTCTCCATCAGCACCTTATTAACAGGCCAGAAATGCAACTGACGGATGTGCCTCAAATCACCAGATCTGTTGAAAAACTCCCGGGAATAGCGGCCACTTAGCGCAATCTGAAGGAAATATTTTTTCAATTATTGCAGATCAGAACAAATAAGACATTTTGAAAGAAATAACAGTTTGATACTAATGGCAGTATGTGAAAGAGTAACTGAATTATATGTGAGGTAACTAATTATTTCGAATGTTTTTTTCTGGACCATATTCACTTTAAAACACTTAACATGCTTACCTTGCGAGGCATCATTCCAAGAAGCTCCATCATCAATGCCAGATGATCCTGCAAAGTTTGAGATATCATAAATAAAAAAAACCATTGATTGAAGTTCAAATAATCACAGCATTATTTCACATTTTTGTACATATTTTCAATGATAATAGAAATCAGCAGCAATATGCATACACAAATTTTAAAAATATTTACTTAACAAAATCAGAAGTCTGCTATAATGCAGATACAATTCTAATAGTATGAAAAAGTACGAGAGTGAATTATACTACTTTGTGACAATAAAACTGAACAGTAAGCATAAGATATTGATAGCCAGAAATGAAGCAAACCGGTACTTTTGAAGCCAAAAAACAGGTTCAGTTACCTCATCCCTATCATAATTGTCACCGCTGTGAGGATCAAAAAGCACATCGCCAGTGACAAGCTCAAAGCAAATGCAAGCAAAAGACCATAGATCTGCTGGAGTTGAGTATTTAGATCCAAGAATAACCTCGGGACACCGATACTGCCTCGTCTGAATATCATTTGTGAATTGTTTATAAGTCCAACAAGCATTACCAAAATCAACCAGCTTGCACTTGAAATCAACAGCTGCCAGCAAATTTTTCCTTGTAGAACTGCTAACTCTCCCACGACCATGACTTCCTTGTGGAACATCCTTAGTTTCCGTAGCCTTTGTCCATTCATCTTCACTCACAGTCACAGGACTAATAGGTTTACCTTCACCAGATTCAACACTTGGATTCACATCATTACTAAAATCATCTTGCTCAGGTTCTTCAGAATCCTCCTCAGCTTCCTCGGGACTTTCCTTCCAAACACAGCCTTGAGCTGCCTTCTTCCGTATTTTCATTTTCTGGTTCTTGGTCAGATCTCCATTCAAACTTTTATCATCTCTTGTGGTCACAATCTTATCCTTGGTGTTTGGAAGGACAAGTGGAGCACCTGATTTTCTTGGATCCTTGCACGGATCTATTGGAGACAGAAGCAGGACATTCTCTGGCTTCAAATCAGTGTGTATTATTGAGAGCTCGCGATGCAAGTAATCCAGACCAGCCAAAATATGGAAACAAATTTCTTTAACCATGGGAAGGGGAACCCCTCGGTAATCATTGTACTTTATAAGGGTAAGAAGATTGTCACCTAGGAATTCAAAAACCATACACACGTGCTGGCCGTTAGGCCCTGAATGCTTAAAGTGATCCAATAGCTTGACAACACATTTCTTGTCATCAAGATCCCCCTCTGCAACCTGCTTAAGAATCTTTATTTCATCCATTGCTGCTTCAGTGTAGTGCTGAGCACTCTTTTGAATTTTTAGGGCAACATACCGCTACACACAAACAATTCCCCCCATCATTAATAGAGCTCAAAATTAAAGATGATAGCATGTTATTACTTGTTAGCAAAGTTTTCAAAGATGATAGCATATGCATCTAAACACAGGAACTACAATAATACGAAATAGACATGATCAACGAGATAGGAAGTTAGAAAGAGCAACAAGGCAACAAAAACAGGAATTACTACTTAATAAATTTATTTGTGTAAAAAATAATATATTTTTAGATTAATAGCTTGTTCTGCAGTTAGATATGCATGAGTGAAATGGGATAATGTGATTTGCTTCAAAATAACCAAACAAATTTCTCCAAACAAACTTAAAAATCAAGCTTCTCTAGAAACATTCCTTTTGCACTTCAGTAAAAACAGTATTATCATGTTTTAATCAGGTTTGCCAAACAAGCTAGATTAAAGAGGCATTAGGGAAGCTTATAGATACTTCATTTGAGATTATGACCTTCTTATAAGATTTTTTTAGCTTAATTTAATGAGTTTATCAAGAAACTTGCAAATATAAGCTCTTTTTAGCTTACTGCAAAAAACTTATGAAGAAGCTGTTTATGCAAACCCGCTGTAAACCCGAAAAAAGGTTGTTTCTACAATAAGAAAAAACTCACTCCTAAACACAGTAAATGTCAAAACTGAACAAGCATTCATTTTTCCTTTCTTTATGAAAAAACAAAGAAATGGCACACATACCGATTTGAGAGTATCCCAAGCGAGCCACACAGTGGAAAAATGTCCCCAGCCTAGTTTGCTCTGCACCACATAGCAACCATTCTTGTAAGTGTCGCCAATCTGAACCGCATGGTAGCCTCCATGCCTATAATCCTCTGTTCCTTCCTCTTCTGAGCTGTAATCACTCCCCTCATTTTGGTCCTCCGCCATTGAAGGACCTTCAAACAAAGACTACAATCTAAGATATCAAAATCAATAAAGTGACACTGAAAAAAGAGAGAGGTAATTTCAACAACTGTGAATCAAATAGTAGAATAATAATTGGGGATGAGAAAGGGGAAAGAATCGCACGAATTTGAAAGGAAACGGTGAAAAAGTGAAATTAGGGTTTTATGAGTGCAGGTAATTAGGAACATTTATTATTAACATTAATGATTCATTGATTGTGGTTTAACTACTTCAATTCTGACCCAATTTTTTGGTTGAATTAATTGCTTTTGGGATCTCAACCTCAATAACGGTTTGATTAGGATTTAGGACATTAGGTTGAGTTTTACTCTATTTATTTGGGTAATTTTACGTTGGTTAAGAAAGGTTGAAATGTTATTAAATTTATTAACTATTTTTAGCTTATCAAAATTTCCATTTATTAAAAAAGTAAATTGTTTTATCTTCCATCCAATTAATTGAGTAAATAAAAGTGTTAAAAAACATTTTAATATACAATTTTTAAAATGGTTTTATAAAGAGTTTAGATAAATATATATTAAGGTAATAGTAATACTAATACCTTAAATTAGAATAAGAATAAGAAGGTTAGTTAGATGTTGAGCAGGTTGTCAGAATTATTTTTTCGGTTTCAATGCTCGACAGTTGACACCTTTATTAGATTGATATATTTGAATATTAACTTAAAGTGTACATAGATATTTTTATGGTTTCATAATTAATTTCTTTTAATGTAAGCAGGAAGCAGCAAAGCATCATGGTGCTTTTCTGGTTCACAAAATTCCAATACACTCCACGATTCAATGTTTAAGGCCAAAAGGTTGGACCAATAAGATATATTCCTAAGGCCCAATTGAGAATGCACCTATCAATTTTATACACTATTATCGTATCATCTAACATTCATATTTAAAAAATATGACGCATGTCATGATTTGAATAAATGAGTAATATAACTTATCTCATTATATAAAATAGAATAATGTATCTTCTGGTATAAAGAGATAAATTATATTCCTCAGCCACTAAAATCGTGACATGTGTACCATTTAATTATTTCTACAAAAATATTTCTAAAACTAAAAAAAACAATATACATATTATTCTTTTACTAGCTGGAGTAAATAAGTTATCTCATATGATATGAAGAGATACATTATTCTCTATATAAAAAATATACTTTATTCTCACATTTTACTATATTTTATTTTATAAAAATAGAGTGTTTCCTCATATTAAATTTACTTATTGTCTTATGTGTCTTATTTTTTTTCATTTGAGAATAATGTATGAAGAAAGGAATGATACAGTATATGAAGATTACATTACTATTGGAGCATACAACAATGTATCAAGTACTATTTCATTATGTTGTTTTTGTTGAATCATCGCTCATTATAATCCTATATGGCTTTCTGTATTTTGATATACTATGCTAATCAGAAGAATTGATAATAAAAAAGGGTGGATGAGGAGGGCATAAGCCCCGTTCAGTTAGTCACGAGGACCATGTGAATGAGCTGTGAAATTGGCCAACACCTTGTGCTAGATTCTAGGCTCCACACATGTCTCAGCCCATTATGGTCGAATCATTGCTACAAGTTCCTTGTTACCAAGGCTGCATCGCTGCAGTTAAGGCCCGGGGACTTTCCTGAGCCCATATGGACCCAATCACATCGCCTCCTCATCCCAATTGTGCTTCACTGTATTGTAACAGCTTTATAAAGACTAAATCTTTTCTCTTCAATAACGATGTGGGATGTGTTCTTATTTATAGTTTATGCCTACAGAACACAACGATCCCCAATTCATAAGCAGAATTGCACGTAGTCAATACGGATGCTAGTTAACTTTTCAACAAGCTAAATAAACATTACGTTACTGTTTTGATCCCCATTCACGTTGGTGAATGTTGATGAGACTCACAGTCTACCCTCCCTAATAGAGTCAAGCTTTCTATGCAATCCAATAGTATTCTATGTGTGTATATTATCTAATATTATAATTGTAATGACCGAATATAAACTTATACTCTTCTATTGACTCATTAATAAAAATATAATTGTAGAACATGATCCAACCAGGCCCATACCCCTGGGTAGTGGATGAGCCTCACAATGAAATTGAAAGAAATGTAAACACAATAAAAAAACATGAACCCAAAATATACCCAACAAGTAACAAGTAATGTTGTTTACACTGTTCAAAGTTCTACCTCCTAAGTCCTAACGAACCTTCAAAAATCAAAATCGCATTTGGAAGAAAGCCCTCTATCACTTGAAGCTTTAAGTTGCAAACTTTATCATTTTTGGTGAGTTTTTCTTCTTCTACTAAAGAACATGGGTAATGGGTTCTTTTAGTTCTTTACTTTTAATTAATTTGGTTTCCGTGAACAAGAGGTTGATTATGATGAAGGAAAGGGTAATAATACTCTTCACGCTCTAAATTTACTCTCCACTCTCCGTGTTAATCAATATTATTTTAGATAATTGATCTCAATTAGGATTATCCTTGAATCAGTCCCTTTTTCATCATTCTGATCACATTCTCCTGGTTTTAAATTTATTTTATTGTATTTCTCAATACTTTTATATGCCTGTAACATTTGATATTCTGATGAATAAAAAACAAAATCATGAGGCCTTTTAATTCTAAATATATTAGGCATTACACAACCTGACAGTCATTGTGATATACTGTGATTACGATTGAGAATCTGAGATTTTGTGACTATGGTTCTGTAATTTGTGCTATGAGTTTTTGAGTTCATATGGTGGGTTTTTATTTTTTGTTTAATGTTTAATATTGCGATGCACCCTTTGGTTCCATGTTTTTGTTTAATATAAACTGTATTTGCATTGTTCTTGAGCTGTTTCATATTTGTTATGCAACTTCGATATGTTAGAAGAAGGAAGCATCGGTAATTGAAGGGGTACAACATGGAAAGTCCCCACTCTGTCAACAGTCCAAGAAGAACACTCAGTCTGTCAAAACAACGGAGGGCAACTGTGTCCTTTCTTGACCCTGATGACAAAAATTCCGGCTTTGGATTGTCGGGAGAACATGGCCCTAAACCTTCTGAAGTTTATGGTTTTGTGGGATCCATAACTACGGTTGCTGCTTCAGGTCTAGTTAGCTGTCCTGCTTTTCACAAATTTAATTTGGTTAAGTTATTAAAAAAAATATTTATTTATATTTGAGGTCTTTACAGTTATCTTGACTGTGATTTTCTTGAGTATTTCATGCTATCTCCGATATCTGAGTGATCTGGGTTAATGTGTTTGCTTTGCTAGGCTTAAGGCTAGATTTTTCAAGCATTAGTTGACTTCTTTGGTAAAGGTCAATGCATTTGGATCTGTTTAAAGTTCAGACCGTTGTTCTGGGCATTCATTGGTTTGTCATCCATTTAGACTTGAGACATACAGACTGACATTTCAAAATCATTTCTTAGAATAATAGGAGGATAAGAAATCCTCCAAAACAAAACAAAAGAAAGATAAAATTACAAAAAAACCAAAGCAATAGAGCAAATCTGAAATGTCAACCCCCTTAACAAAGGTTTCTAATGTAACGTGTGGAGGCTCACTCTTTTTTCATACCTTGGGATTTGAGTTGTATGTTTGAAGATTCTTTAAAATTGCTTGTAATTTGTAATAAAATTTTGAATTAGATTGAAAGCAAGCAGGGTTAGGGGTTTACCTTGAAGCAACATTCTTTTCTATCCAAATTCTCTGATGTTCTGTTGTTTTGGTTACCTGTAGCCACAATTGAGATGACTTTCTATTCATTGCAATATAACAGTTAAGTCGCCCAGGTTTCATTTGATGTTCACAAGGCATATCATGATTTTATTTTTATTTTCATGTGTGAATAGTTATTTTCTTGGTTTGGGCATACGTACCAGAGTCATGGCTACAATCCGTTGGCATCACTTACTACCCTAGCAGGTTAGACAACTCGACTCTTGTTATTATTTGAAGCTTTGGTGATTATCAGGGTCCTGTAGCATATTGGATTCTTTGAGTGCATGGAACAAGAAATTTTCATTGCGAAAAGTCTAAAGTGAACGGAATTCTTGGGGTATTAATTTGAGGTTGTACAAATGTAAACCAAGTTAAGGTGCCTGAAACAGGTGTAGTGAGATCTTCAATTTAGCTGTTATATGGAGATGGGTTTTGGGGAGAAGGATGGGAGTAATCCCAACCTTTTTGTCAGAATGCTTAACAATGAAATATGTGTTAAAGGATTGCAAATCAACTGTATGTAAAAAAAAGGTTGTGAAACAATTTCAGCAACTTTTACTTTTCAGGTATTGGGCTTTAGCATTACCAACTTATCTGCTGGTGACCATTGCGTTAGGGGTTGGATTCTACATTGGCCTTAATTTCATTGCAACACCTCCCCCTACATCTAAATACTCAGTTTTCGGTGAGTTTGAAGCTAACTTCTTTAGGGATACGGGTCTGGTTAATTTTTTGTAAGCATATGCTATTCTAGATTACTTACTAAGCTTCTTGAACATGTGGATACCTTTTTGACTGTTTATTTTTTTGCATAAAGAAGTCATTTTGCAAGCCCTTTTCATCCAAGCAAAGTCATTTTGAACTTTAGAATTTCGTTTGGATTTTTCTTATGACTGCACCGTCAGGATGTACTGCATTTCAGCTGAAATTTCCAACAGCTGATATCCACATTTCTTTGTTCAGATGAATTCACTAGGGATCCTTTGAGTCCCGATTGTTCAGTAGACCCAGATGAGAAACCTATCGAGCCCATATCAGATATTGGTATCGACAGAATCAATGATATTATGTTCAACAGTGCAACCTGACAATCATATATCCCTGTCTCCAAAGTTAGGAGGGAAATTGCCTCTATAGGTGCTGCTATTTTTGTCTAGTCGCGAGAGGGTACAGCGATTAGACGTCAATTGATTCAGTTAGTCAAGTGAAAGAATGACCGGATTTGATTTTATCAGACGTTATTTTTAATGGTTATGTGTGCTGATTTTAGAGCTACTTTGTGAATTGGTAGCCAGGAATTGTAGTAGTGGAAACAACCCCTTCTTTTAATGGGAGTAAGATTATGTATGTCTGTTTCTTACCCCCAAATTGATGAGTCTTGTGCTTATACTACTAATCTTCAAGCTTGAATGACAGTAACTATTTATTTGTTCAAGCTATGAGGCACCGTGCGCTTCTGGTCTGAAGTTAGAGATATAGGTCAGATTTCCATGCATTTCAAGATCTATCACTTCTTAACAATGTGCACTCCTATTGCTTGGGGATGACTGATGAGTCAGTCACCAAGCCACTGTCAAATCAATAATTTACTTAGTCATAGTACTTGATTAGCTAGTGTCTGAGGTACAAATATTTAAATCATGCATAGTACTATTTGAAAATCAATTGACAATAAGATGAGTTAGTCTGACAGATATTTAAATCATGCATAGAAGAACGAGACATGCGTTATGGGATTTACTTCCTAATAGTTACCCGATATAATCTTGCAAGTAAGATTTTAAGTTGTGTATCTCTCACCGATCCTTCCAAAAACATAAGTTCTCACTCTGTATGATTATTGTTCCTTGATCAATAAATACATATTAAGTTATTGGATATTTATTTTAAATGATTTATGAGCATAACATCTATCTATTTTCATCGTAAGATTTCAAATGTAGTCAATATATCATTCAACGTGAAATCCATCATATGTATATTAAGAGAGTTAATAATAATCATGAATGAAACATTCAGAATATAAAAAACTCTTAAAATATTAATAACTACATTTTTCTCTCATGATTTATGATTGTTTTCTTAACCAATCAGATACAGTAATATGTGTAGAGACATATATGTGGAGTAGCACTTGTTTTATCCAAAACACCCATGCTATGGTTGCATGGTTGTGTCTTTCATTCACAAAAACAAATAAAGCAAATAAGCAATCATGACATTTTGGAACCAATTGGCTCCTAAAAGCCATTGAGACACAATTTCAAAAGGACCATTATATATAGCGGAGACACTCTAAATTCATAAACTATCACACAAATTGTATAAGTAATAGGAAAGTGATATATTATCCTATTAAATTCTCTTATCTTTTGATAGCCCGCAAAAATGACACGAGATAATCTTTATTGGCTGAGTCATGACCAAGTCGCTCTCTTTAAGACGTTTTGTGGTACTACCTCAAGGTGCAAGCAGACTATCAACCACGCCGTCCCCAGGATAAAACAGTTCAGCTCTCTGTTATACGATTTCTTACTACACTGTAAGAATCACTCTCGAATACACCCAAAAATATGACTTTCAGTGCCAATTCCGAAATACCCATAATATTGGCTTCTCGTGTCAATTCTATTCCAAAAATGTTGGGCCCGATGTACCCCTTGGGGCACACTCCAATGTAGGATTTTAAGACTTATAAAGTCTTTCACCTTCATTCCTCCAACCAATATGAGACTTGGAGATTTTTTGAATTTCACACTCCAAGTTCCCTCATTAATATGCTTTAGTTTCACTTTGAAACCATCAATTCTCAACACAAGGTGATACTTTTATTTGTAAATAATTAGTTTACAAGTGACATATATTAATTTTTTTAGGTAAAAATATTAATAGGAGAATGTAATAGGATGATATAACATTATTCTAATAAATATGCATTAACACACAT